TCTGAACGTTCCATCTTCACAGACCGGAACCAGGTATCTCGTTATTCCACCATAATCTAGCTTTGCTTTGTATTTTGTATGGGCAGAATTTCCCTTTAAAGGAAAAGAGGAGGAGAAGGCTTAAGATACAAAAGGAAATCCAAAAAAAGAATTAAATGGAAAAGATAACATATGAAGAAGAAGAAGAAGGAGAGACCGCTTTCTCAACTGATATAATTATACCTCAATAATTATGTGGGGCACCAACCGGATTAATCTCACTATTTGTTTTACTAGTTTGTTTTTATTAAATTATAAAAAAAGTTTTCGGATAAAACTCGCAAAGCAAGGATTGCTAAATCTTTGCTTTTTAAATAGGAAAATACAGGAAGTACAACAAATATTTGATTTCCTCTTATAAGTTTATTTAAAAAATACGTATCAATCTGTTATTTATTCTTTTTGAAACTATTTCCAATTTACTTCCTGAATAGATAGATGTCACGCTAAAAAACAAATTTGTAAACTTCATGTTACTCATTGAGATGTATTTGAACAATAATTCTGGTTATTTTTTTTTTATTTAAAAAAATGATGAACTTTCCATTGGCCACGTGCGTCATTAGAATTTTTTAAAAACGAACGGGAATATGAATTGTGCTGAAAACAAAAACAAGATTAATGTGGAAAAAAACTCTTAAAAATTCTATCCTATTCTTTGTATGTGTGTGTATAATTAATTTGTAACAGAAAAAAAATTCCGGAATATTAAAAAAAATTTTCATAAATTAATTAACGAAAACGTCGATGAATCAAAAAAGAATTAGACTTGAAAAATTCGTTAACCCATTTAAGTGACAAAGTATGCGCCACTTTGTCATCAGTAAATATTTTTTATTATACAGTGCGTCCGTAAAGTAGACGATAAAATCATTGTAAACGGTTTTAAGACGCACTTCTAAACCCGAAACTTTTTAGTGTTAGTTCTATTTTTAGTTGTTATTCAGTACTTCATTGAACTAATACTAGAACTTGAAACATTCTGAGCGTCTCTTAAAACAACTAAACCCGAATATTTCTAGTTCTAGGTCTAGTGCTAGTTCTAATGCTAGTGTTAGTTCTACTTTTAGTTGTTATCCAGCGTTTAGATTGTTGTACATTTTCATTGAACTAAAACTAGTACCAACGCAGACACCCGGCTAAACCCGAAATTTTTTAGTTCTAAGTCTAGTGTTACTTCTAGTTTTAATTAATTATAATTAGAACTAACACTACACCTCAAACTAGAAACATTCGAGTTTAGCCATCTTAACAGACACACGTCTAACCCGAATGTTTTTAGTTCCAAGGGTCAAATCTGGATTTTCTTTAGTTCAATTATGAATATTTTTCAAATTAATGGTAATCAGTAAAAAGATAAAAAATAAAATTAATTAATCATTTTTAAACTAAATTAAAATCAATTTTATATAGGATGGCAAATTCACTTTTTGTAGCATACAGCTGTTAATATAAAAAGTGATATGTATCCAAGTGTTGATCATTTTAGTCACTATATGGTATCAATTGCTACGCTTTAATTAGGCAAAATACTTGCTCTGTGTAGTTTTAGAAAACACACTTTGAAATCATATTGTATCAATTGTAGAGGCTTACCTCCCTTGTAGCCGAGGCGTTTCAATATTTAATTATTTTTGTGACCATATGATATCAATCGTTGTTCTGTTCTGCGTTTAGCCGAGGTTGCTTATGGCCGAAGCGCTACAATATGTTGATCATCTTTGGGATCATATGTAATATTTCAGGCAAAATGCAACATTCTATGTTTTGTATTACCAAGATAATTTTTGTAATCATATGACCAGAGTGGCACCTATAGAGATTCTTCGACGAGGTTAGGATACCACAACCTAACTCTGTTCTGCACGCGAGACAATATTGTACTAATGTCAAGCAAAATAGATGTCCTACAAAGAATCATCCAAATATAGAATTCTGCCTACAAGAGGAGGAAATCATAATAAATAAGATTCTACAACATCACAAAGGGAGAAGGAAGAGATAACATAGGTGTAAGAATTGATGGACAACGAGTTATTCAAATCTAAATTGTTGTATATTTTCATTGAACTAAAACTAGAATTAACACTAAAACTAGAAACATTCTGAACGTCTCTTAGAATAGCTAAACCCGAATGTTTCTAGTTCTAGGTCTAAAACGTTAAAAAATGTTTAAATATTTTCGATATTGTTTGTCTTAAAAAATTATATTTGGCTTTAGGGCAATGTTATCATGAGAAATCGTTAAGATCACTTTTGAAAATGTGCAACCACGAGATCAATGCTATACAGGGTGTTCACAACGGTTATTTCCTTAAAACTTTTTTTTTGTCGTAAACCATTAAATTTTCCAACTGATTCTAAAAGCCCATTTAATCGTTTTAGAGTTATTCACAAAAAGATACAACCTCGTTTTTGAGACACTCGTAGAAGTCCATGAAAAAAAATCATTAGTAAAGCAATCTGTCAAATTATTATCCAACGTAGCATAAAATCTTCAATTATGAATTTTTCCATCATAGTACAGTTTTGCCATACGTGTACTATTAAGTACAAGAAAAGTGGTATGGATACAGTTGCTATTCGTACTTTTCGATATTCCGAAATGTCTTGTTATTTATCAACAGCACTAGTAGTACTACGATCTGCCACAAAATCCAAAATGCTTTCTTCTAGTTCGGGTGTACAAACTTCTGATTAAAGTTATATACATACTTTTAGGTTTGGAATTTTTTTGCAATATCATCTCACCGCTGTGTTAGCACTCCCTCCCAACGTTAAAAGCATGTCAATTTGCTCACTAAAACTAATTATTTGCCATTTTAAACTACTATTAGCGACTAACGTATGTTGGGTAATAATTTGGCAGATGCCTTATTGCTTTACTTACAATTTGTTTTCATAAGCACTTACGATTAATGAAAACATTTCAAAATTGAGGTTCTATCTTTCTGCGATCCTTAAATAGCATTGATCCTGAAGTTGCATATTTTTAAAAGTGATCTAAAACAATTTTTCTTGATAGCATTGTACAGTTTGCCAAATTTTGTCGTTCTAAGACAATGCTTAACAATTTCTTAACTTTGAAGGCTCATATCTTAATCGTTTACGGGTTTAGACCAAAAAGTTTTACACGAATCGTCATCATTGTGACTCTAGTATTTCTGATTAAAATTATGCCACGAATTACAGAAACACCCATTGCCACTCAGTTCGGACATAACAATTTTCCAAGCAGAATTTCTTGCTATAAACTTCTGCACTGCTTTGAACTTACAGAAGGTACAGAAAGGTGCATCCATAAACATTTTCACAGACAGTCGGGCCGCCTTAAAGGCAATTTAGGCCTACACGTGTGATTCCGCACTGATCAGAGAGTGTACCAGCATCCTGAGAGAATGATGTTACCCTATGGTGGGTTCCAGGTTACAGCAACATTGAGGGCAATGAGAAGGCGGACAAGTTGGCCAAAAAGCAGCGAACCCCAACCTGTACAAAAAAGCCACCTAAAACAAATAATCAACAATTGGGAGGTCTCACACAAGAACAACTTTCTGGCCTTGCTGAATGAGGTGCAATCGCATATTTTTATGTATGTGTTGTATTAGTCTCTGTTTCTAAGCTATAGAGGTTCATGTTTAGACATACAGATGCAGACTCTAATTGAGTAGATGTTGTTGGAATTTGATCTTTAAAAACAATATCAATGTTTCGAACAGGTATCAGATCAACAGTGGCAAGTTCTTGTACTTTTTAGGTTGTTGGCTTGAAAGGCCCAGTTATCTTTGATGAATTTAAGCCCAAGGTGGAGCTGACGTCTCCAAGAAATTTTCCAACTTAGCTCTTCTTTTATAATGGTACGAGCTGTGACTTAGCTGTCTTAAGAGACGCATGGCCAAACCCAAAAATTTCTGATTCTAGGTCTAGTGTTAATCCTATCACTAATCCTCAAAGTAATACACAAAAAGAGTAGCTCTTTTCATTTCTTTGTTATCAAGTGAATTCGACGGATTGCTAAGCTACAATATTTTGTTAAACCTAAAATAACTTTATCACTCGATTTCTTAATCATTTTAGCATTAAATCGTTTTTTGTCAGTTTTTTCTCTATGAACACTCAATCTTTTTATAGATCGTGACATTTAGATCGTGAAAATAGATACAAATATGTTTTTTTTTTCCAGATATTTTTAAAAACAGAGATCATTATTAAATTATAAAGATTCTTTTCTATGATTTCTAAAAATTGTTTCAAGGAATTTTTAAATTTGTTTAAAATAAACTGTAACAAACAAAAAAAATCGATTCTTGTTATGAGTAATCTAAAGAAGTCACCATATCAATTTGAACTGGATTTTCCAAAGAATTTCCTGACCATATTATTTCAAAATAAAACGAGTCATGATGTTTGTAGTTTCTGCATTAATACTTGAAGATTAAATCTAAATCATGAATTGCTTGCTTCTCTTATCTTTTCCTGAATGAGTTGGTTCAAAAAAAATTTCATTCAAAGATAAAAACACGTTTATTCGATATTACTTAGTAAAGATGGAATTACCATCTATGACTACGATAATTAACAATAAATTATAACCCATTTTGTTTTAAATTACAGTAATTATCACATTACAGAGAATAATAAACAAACAATCATAAATTATAACAAGTTTTCGAATCTGTATTAAACGATAAATAAAACGGTAAACACGATATCGTTAGTTTACGCAATTAATCTCCTAAAATACGCTTTTTTTTTCAAACTTTTCAAAGTCAAAGGACACTTTTAAATTGGTTCTATCTCAATTGAATGATACAGATAGAGGAGATAAAGGATTCTGAATTAAAAAAATAGATATATAGATAAAAACAGATTTAGTTACTTAATAATTTTTAAGTAAATTTCGAATTAAATAGATTTTTATTGTCAAATTTGACGTTTAACGAATTAATTTTTGGTTTCAGGCGCTGAAAGCGAAATGCAAGGCAACGTTTGTATGCCTCAAGATCTGGAAACTGGGTCGTCGCCGCCACCACAGAACAATTCAGGTACAAAGATTATAATTTAAATAATATTTTTATGTTGGTGTAAATTGTTCGTGTCGAGGAATTCCATAAACAAGTGGTTTGTTGTATCAATTTTATGCGGTTCCATATCTTTCGTATTGCTTCCTTACCAAAAACCAAAAAAGATAATCTTTTTTTTATAAACAAAAATAGAATTTGCTTTAATTCGTTTTTTTTTAAAATTTTTTTAGATATCAATGAGAGCGGAATGGACTTAAGCATGAACGAACCAAAGATAAAAGCAGCCAAAGAGCTGATACAAAATCACCAAAGCATTATCAACGACTCCGGATTTATATCCTCGAGCAACACAACCCATCATACAGATAATAACCAAAGCGATTCGGATAATCGAAGCGATTGTAGCAGTTCGCCAGAAAAAACTTATTGTTGCCCGATTTGTAACAACATGTTAACCGGCCAACACGAATTTACCCTCCATATAAGATGTCATAACGAATCAGCAACAACCAACGAGAAAGGAGCTGGGTATATTTGTCGAATTTGCGGCAAAGTTTTGTGTTCAAGTTCAAGTTTAGATCGACACGTTTTAATACATAGCGGGGAACGACCATTTTCATGCAACATTTGTGGCGATACATTTACTACAAATGGAAATATGCATCGGCATATGAGAACACATTCGATTAAAAACGATTATGAATCGGATAGTGGTGGAAGTAGTGATGGAAGAAGCGATACAAGAAGTGAAACAAGAAGTGAGACAAGAAGTGAGACGAGAAGTGAGACAAGGAGTGAAACTAGGAGTGAGGCAAGGAGTGAAACGAGAAGTGAGGCAAGAAATTCTTGTATTAAAGAGTTTAATAATAATCAAATTGAAAAAGGTTTTAAACGAAAGCTCGAAGATATGGATGAATTTAAAAATGCAAGAATCAAAATTGAGTTAGATGATGAGCAATTTAAATGTCCTGTTTGTGAAAGAGAAGATTTTAATTCGATTGAAAATTTAAAGATACATTTAATAGATAACCATCCAGATCATCCTGCTGAATGTGATTTATGCAAAGCGAATTTCCCCAATATAAAAGCGTTAAACTTACATCGAAACACAGTTCACGCCGATCAAAACGGAAAAAAATCCTCAATTATAGGATTTAGGGATTTAACAGATACCGATTTTTCGAGCGAAAAGTTTCCTCACATTGCTAAATATCGTTGTGAAGAGTTCCTGCATAAATCGTCATCGAGCGATGTTAAATATCAATGTCAAAAATGTCCGAGGGCTTTCCCATGCGCAACTTCGTTACAGTTACATGAAAAAGATTGCGCTGCGACCGGAATTAATTTTCCCATTCCAAAAATGGATCCTTCCTTAGTCAGAAAAACCGAATTTTTTAATACGCTAGACCTCCAAGATAACTCCCCAGAAAAAATCCATAAAAAAATCCTTGATAACGTCAAATTTGATAACACCAAAGACCTTGCTGATATTCAAAGCATCATTTCAATGACAGCTAATGGAAGCTTTCTGCAACACTTAACAAAAACCGATTCGCTCCCCCAAGATAACCTGCAATCAGAAAAAACTGAAGAAGAAGAAGCCCAAGATTTATTCGCGATCGAATTCAGAAAGATGAAATTGCGCGGGGAGTTCCCCTGCAGGTTATGCACCGCGGTTTTTCCGAATTTGCGAGCTTTAAAGGGCCATAATCGAACCCATTTAAACGGAAATAACAACGGAACTTATCATTGCAATATGTGCCCTTACTCCTCACCCGATAAAGCAGCTTTAATCCGACACATGAGGACTCACAACGGAGATAGACCATACGAATGCTCTTTATGCAAATACGCCTTCACCACCAAAGCTAATTGCGAGCGGCATTTGCGAAATCGCCACGCTAAATCAACAAGGGAAGAAGTTAAAAATGCAATAATTTATCACCCCTCCGAAGACCCAACAAACGACGAATTAAATAAATTGGCGAAAGACGACAAAAAATTAAACGTTTACGGAGATGAAATCGAAAAGAGTTCGCCTAAAACACCATTGAATGAGCCATATCCAAGAAGGGAGATGAATCAATTTCCGTGGGGGAACCAAAACGTTCCAAAAACCCCTCCTAAACCATCTTATAGCATCCAAGAAATCATAAAAAATTTAAGCGAAAATAAATCTCCGATGATTCCGTTAAATTATTCAACACCCCCATTGATAACTCCCCCTAACTCAATGCATACATCAACCCCGCAAAAACCAAAGATCCATGTAAAAAATTTAGAGGCCCTCCAACACATCGATTATGAATCCGACGACCATATCGACAAACCAATCGATTTAAGCACAAAAAAATCAATCTCAATGGAAAGCATCAACAACGACGACGATAAATCAGAAGATGATGACTCGGATCATCGCGAAACCCCGGAAGATTTAACCAATAAAACCCCCCCAATGATGCGCTTCAACAACATGTTCCCCCAATTGCTTCAAAATAGCCCCAACCCCAACCTATACACCCAATTAGCTTTGATGAACATCTCAAACATCCCCCCATGGGGGGCATTTTCCCCATTATTCCTCCAAGCGATTCAAAACCCTTTATTACAACAAGAACAAGAAAGACTCAAAAGGCAATTAAGCGGGGGTTCCGTCGTTAACATGACAAACAAAGAAGTATTCCCAATCCCCCAATACCCCCATCAATACTCCCATCAACCCCCACTAATAAAACCACCAATCGAAGACATCAAACCTTTATCAATCACAGTAGATCCAAACTTCACCGAAAACATCAGCAAAATTCAAAGCCCCCAACAACCAAAACAATCCGAAATCACCCACTCACCAAATTCCGTTAAAATGGTCATCAAAAACGGGGTGTTAATGCCAAAACAAAAACAAAGAAGATACCGAACCGAACGTCCTTTCGCTTGCGAACACTGCTCTGCGAGATTTACGCTACGTTCGAATATGGAGAGACACATCAAACAACAACATCCTCAATATTGGTCGCAACGACAACGTTCGAATTCGAATCCCGGACGAAAACCCAACGGGAATCAACCGATTTCGATTCCTAATTACGAACCGCAAAGGATTAATCCGAATCAAAACGATGATTTAAAAGATAACAATCAAATTTCTTATAAATTAAAACACGCCATTTTGGCGCAACATCTACGTGGTACTCATAATAGTCAAGAATATAAAGCGGCGAATTTGTTGAATCCGATTCCGATTCAACCGAAACGCGAAGAGGATGATGAGTGCGCGTTGATTATTGATGAACCGGTTGATGATCGTATGGATACTGAAGAAGATGAATGCGTTGAAATGGAACGAAAACAACGGTTGTGCTTGGAGGAGAAATTGAGGGAATTTCAACAACCGAAATTCGATGTGTTGTTGAATCAGAAAAGGAATGAGGATGGACAGGATTTAGTTCCGGTTTCGAGGTTGTTGGATAATGCTTCTCAACAACCTTTTAAAGATTATTTTAAAAGTGAACGGGAGGAACACGATGGTGATATTGTTAGTGAGGAGGATGAAGAGGGTTTAGTTGCTAGTGGAAGTACAAGTGAAGCTAATTCTGGAACGGATGAGAATAAGTAAGTTAAATATTTTTGTTCATTTAAACTTTTCAAATTTTTTCACTTAAGTTGAACCTATCTATCTCTACGATGATTTAATATATTTATCCTAATAACATATACAAAATGTGGTAAATAAATGTTATGTGGTAAACATGTCATTTAAAGTAAGTCGACGGAGTCAGAGCAGAAATCAGCAAAAATGTTTGTTCTAAGCTTATCGTAAAGATGTGTAAACTTATAAAAAGCAAATCTGATCATGTTTTTAAATCATGGAGCCCAGAACAAAAATACGTGATATCTTTCCTTCAAACGCTTTGATGTTAGGGAGATTACTTAGCCTCTAGACTCAGTATCATCTTAGACTATTGTTTATTGTACTTCATATCACACTTTAACTGTATCAGATTACTATTGTAAATAAGCAGTGTGGTATCATCAGCAAAGTATATCGAATTACTAAAAAGAAAGTGTTGATGAAAGTGATAATCAGCAACATGTCAAAAACACTACGCCAGTCTCAACACTTCTCAATGTTCAAACCACAATGATACACCTTGTTTGCGATTAGTCAGAAATCATTTCTTTGATTTAGCGACACTGAATAGTGTTCAAGGTGCTCCAGGAAATGGGTATGATAAATGTTGTCAAAAAAGCCTCAATGATGATTTTGACAAGCAGTCGAGCATCTATCGCTATGAAATTATTTCTCCTAAAAGTTGGTTAATTGCACAAATTATCATCCTCAGAATATGACTAAAACCTGTTCTTAATTAGTACGTCAAAGATTTTGCCAGTGATGGCAATAATAGCTATGAGGTGATAGTTGATGATATCATTTCTATCTCCTTTCTTGCTAATGAGGGTAACTTTACACAGCAGTTAGTTAGAAGCAGAATTAAATACCCTACTACTAGTAATACATTTTTACACTAAATTTTTGATTTTATCGCATAAACCATCAAGCTACCGCAACCATGTATATCATCCATATCACTTTTGAAATCACTCGTCAGGGCCACAAATGGTAAATTTAGACTTAGTTGATTTTTTCTGTTCATAAACGACTTCTTGTAAGCTATTTAACCAAGCAAGTTATGCTACCAAATACGCTTTGGACAGTTTCAGCCCTGCAAGACTTTCCTTATTTTCTTTGAACCTCAGTAATCAGCTTTGATGCGGATAACTTTGAGTTTGTGGCATTGTATTATTGGCTGTTCTTCTTTTTCTTCTTCATATGCAATTTATGCCTTACTGCGTTGTGGTTGTCATTCTGTTTGAGCTATAGATTTTGCAAGTAATGGCAATAATAGCTATGAGGTGNTGTTTGAGCTATAGATTTTGCCCGTAATAGCAATAATAGCTATGAGGTGATGGTTGGTGATATCATTTCTATCACCTTTCTTGCAAATGAGGGCAACTTTACACAACAGACAGTTAGAAGCAGAATTAAATACTCTACTACTAGTAATAAATTTTTACACTAAATTTTCGATTTCATTGCATAAATCAGCAAGCTACCGTTAACACTTTTTAAATCTCCCGTTAGAGTCAAAAATGGTAAATTTAGATTTAGTTGATTTCTTCTGTTCATAAACGACTTCTTGTACGCTATTTGACCAAGGAAATTATGCTAACAAGTGCCCATTGGACAGTTTCAGCACTGCAAGACTTCTCTTATTTTCTTTGAACCTCAGTAATCAGCTTTGATGCGGATAACTTTGGGTTTGTAGCATTGTATTATTGGTTGTTCTTCTTCTTCATATGCCATTTATGCCTTACTGCTTTGTGGTTGTTCTTCTGCTTGAGCTATAACCTCACTTTTTGGATATTTCTTTTTCTCGTCTTCAATCAACTTGATTTCTGCTAGTCCCAGTACTTCTACTTTGTACTTTTCCATTTCCTTTATTATCTGTAACTCTCTCTCTCTGCTAAAGCAGTTGATAATTGTTGATCGTGAAATTTCATTCGTAATCGATTTCTCCCAATCAATCCGTTAATTCCTGAGGTTTTAGTTTTTATTGATGTAAAGGTACTTGTTGGATAATTTCTTTGACAATAAATGCATATTTATGTTGCATCATTCTATAATTAAGTTGTGATCCAATATAAGTTAAATACAAAGTTTTTACAAATGAATTTAAATACTTAAGTATCTAATAGTTTCTGAATATTGAAACGGTGCGGCAGAGAATATTGATTGTCATCATTTCCGCCATCAATTCTGAATGCCAAGAAATTGTATACTGCAAAAACACAATGTACGCAGTGCTCTAATCCTTGCATACTGGTTTTGGTGTTCCTCAATTTTATTCCTGATCAAGTCATCTCAAATACTAAGTCTAAGATATCTTCAAATATTTTCTCTGATGTTGTTCAAAACTATCGTGATAATCGGATAATCTGTGACACATCTCACTGTCATTCAGATTTCTCTTAATATTTTCCTTATCATCTATCAGCATCATCTTTGATATGTCTAAATATTGTCCCTGATATCCTTGAATAATGATTCTGGTGTTCCTCAATATTATTCCTAAGCAAGTCGTCTTAAACATCTCTCAACATCGTCTAATTGTAAGATATCTTCGAATATCTTCTCTGATTTTGTTCAAAATCGTCCATTGCATCAAAGTTGCTTAGCTATACTTCAACACTGTCGTGTTCCTCGTTACGTCTTCTCCATCAATTATTAACATCGTCTTTGACATCCCCATACACATCCTCGAGCATAATTCTTGATACATTTCACTGCCATTCAGATTTCTCTCAATATTTTCTTTATGAACATCATATTTGATATGTCTCAATGTTGCTCGTGATATCCACGAATATTATCTATAGTGACTAGGGTATCTACAAATATCAATTCTAACATTCCTCAACATCGTCGTGTTCCTCTCAACGACTTTTCTATCATTTATCAACTTGATATCGCTAAACATCGTTCACGTCATCTATCTCAACACAGTCGTGCTCCCCTCAACATCTTCCCCATCATCTATCATTAGCACCTTAATATATTTAATCATCGTTTCAAAATCAACCTTATTATACTCTAATATCTTTAGTGTATTCCCCAAATCATCTTCCTATGGCATATCAACATTCCTCTTTATGTTTTTAAACATGTCCGTGAATATTGACTCCGATGTTCCTCAATGTTATTCCTAACCATGTCGTCTCAAACATATCTAAACATCGTCTAAGATATCTTCTCTAAAGTTGTTCAAAATTGTCCATTGCATCAAACTCGCCTAGATATACTTCAATACCATCGTGCTCAGGCATCTCTAGTTATCTGATCAACATCTTCTCCTTAATATCGCTAAAGATCATCCTAGATATCCTTAAATATTGTCTTTGGTGTTCCTTAACTTCGTCTATGGTCTATGGAATTAAAATAGACCATGTCATATATCTCACCACACTCGTGCTCTCCTCAACATCCTCCTCATCATCTATCAATAGCAATCATAGTATATTTAATCATCGTTTCAAAATCAACCTTATTACACACTAATATCGTTAGTGTCTTCCCTCAAATCATCTTCCCCGTGGCATATCAACACCCCTCTTGATGTTTTAACCATGGTCCCTAATATTTCTCAACATCATTTCTTGTATCTTCTGATATCGTTCCAAGCAGCTCAGTACATAATCTATAAGATTTTTTAAACTTTTCTCTATAATCCCTAACATCTCTCAATGATATTTGGCGTCGCTCAACGTATTTCCCATCACAGGTCAACATCTTTCTTGATATATCTTAACAACATCACCGATATCTTTCAATATCATCCCTGATTTCCTCTAATATCATTTCTGATCTCTTGGTATTTCTCTATATAATCATTAACATCTCTCAATACTATTCTGTCCTTCCTCAATGTTTTTTCCATCAGTTATTAACATTTCTAATTATCATCTCCAACATCTCTCAACTACCTCGATATCTCTAAGCATACGATCTCTTAAAATCGTTTTTGATCTTCTTCTACATCGCCATTGGCCACCCTTACGATTCTTATCATCTATCAACGTCCTAAGAGACATCTCTTAGCATCATCATCACCCATATCGTTCAATATCTTTTTTAATTTTCTCCAATATTGCCGCTTGTCTTTGTCAACATCGTTATATATCCTATCTTTAAGATATATTCTTTTTTTAATCTTATCTTATCTTTAAGGTATCTTTAATAATCGTCTCCAACATTTTTCAATATCATCCGTGATATATCTTTCCCATGACCTATCAAAATCATCCTTGATGTTTCCTGGTATTCCAGAATATAATTCCTCGCCTCTCTCAATGTCTTCTCCACGTTTCTATCAACATCGTCCTTGACATCTCTTAGCATCATCATTACCGATATTCTTCAATATCATTCTTAATTTCCTCCAATATTGTCTTTGTCAACGTTTATGCCTCATCTTCATGCATAATTTCTGATATATCTCTCATTATACCAATATCGCTTTTTGATATCATGTTTGATGTCTCAACATTGTTCCTGATATCCACGAATACTCTCTATGGTGTTCCTCAACATTTGTCTTCAACTAATTTGCTATGATAGCTTCAAAATTAGTCTCTGGAGTCCTCTGATATCTCAACATCAAATGTTATATCTCAACATTGTCCCTGATATCCACGAATATTGTCTCCGGTGTTCCTCCAGATTGTTCTTAAGCAAGTTGTCCGAAACATATCTCAATGTCGTCCCTGATATCTTCCAATATCGTCTTCGGTGTTTCTCAACATCGTCTCCGACAACAAAATCAACATCTTTCACATTATTTATCAATATCAATCATGGTATCTTTAATAATCGTCTCCAACATATTTCAATATCATCCGTGATATATCTTCCCCATGACGTATCAACATCCTCCTTGATGTTTTCTGGTATTCCGGAATATCATTCCTCGTCTCTCTCAATATCTCTGTCATTATACCAATATCGCTTTTTAATATCATATGTTTGATGTCTCAACATTGTTCCTGATATCCACGAATACTCTCTATGGTGTTCCTCAACGTTTTTGATATCTCAACATCAACTGTTATATCTCAACATTGTCCCTGATAGCCACGTATATTGTCTCCGGTGTTCCTCCAGGTTGTTCTTAAACAAGTTGACCGAAACATATCTTAATATCTTTCAATATCGTCTTCGGTGTTTCTCAACATCNCAAGTTGACCAAAACATATCTTAATATCTTTCAATATCGTCTTCGGTGTTTCTCAACATCGTCTACTACAACAAAATCAACATCTTTCACATTATATATCAATATCAATCATGGTATCTTTAATAAATCATCTCCAACATTTTTCAATATCATCCGTGATATATATTCCCATGACGTATCAACATCCTCCTTGATGTTTCCTGGGGTATTCCGAAATCGTCCTTATCAACATTGTCCTTGTCATTTCTCAACATGACTCGATAACTCGACGTCATCATTGCAAGTATGCAACCAAATACGCAAATCGCGTATTGCGCTACCTATACTGTGATATTGGTTGCATAGTTGCAATGATGACGTCGGGTACGATAATTAATTAACACACTGTATTTTGAATGACAAATTTTGTTATTATTAATTTTTTTTTTAGATCTGAATCCGAAAATCCAACTCAAGGCCCGGTAAAAAAGAAATCAGCATACTCTTTGGCCCCAAATAGAGTAAGTTGTCCGTATTGCAATCGAAAATTTCCATGGACATCTTCGTTGCGTCGTCATATTTTGACTCACACCGGTCAAAAACCGTTCAAATGCAGTCACTGTCCCTTATTGTTCACAACAAAATCGAATTGTGACCGCCATTTATTAAGAAAGCATGGAAATTCCGCAACAACCATCGTTAACGACGTCACCAATAATAATTCCAACAATAATTTTCTTGTTAGAAACGTACCAGAGCGTCCGTACAAGTGCAATAATTGCCCGAGTAGCACATTTTCGACAGCTTCAAATTTAAAAAAACACATTCACGGCAAACATCAATCGAATGAAGATAAAATAAGCCACGGTTATGATGCTGGAAGTAGCGAGGATGAGAAGCAACATCATGAATGGGACCATCAAAATTTAAATGTTAAAAGTACCGATGTAATAGCGTCATCTTCTGATTTACCATTTAAGTGCCATTTGTGTGATGGATCTTTTTCGGAACGAAACGATTGTTTAGATCACATAAGAGATAAACATCCGTCCGAATTTGATTTGTTACTATCGAAAAATGCTCTTGATAACAACGCATCTTCACCTCAAGAAGAGAACTCTCCGAACCATCATAATCAAAACAACAACGACGAAGACGACCAAGAAAATCGCGGTAAATTTCCAGATTATTCAAATCGGAAAGTAATATGCGCATTTTGTATGCGACGTTTTTGGTCCGCCGAAGATTTAAGAAGACACATGAGAACACACACCGGTGAACGACCATTCAGTTGCGACATATGCCGTAGGAGATTTACATTAAAACACAGCATGTTACGTCATCGTAAAAAACATAGTGCTTCGAGTGAAAATGACACGAATATTAATAGCGATGAGGATGTTAATCCAAGTTTAGAAGTTAAAATGAAAAATTTAATGAAAACGAATCTAACTGAGGATTCCGATGGAAACGAAAGCGGCGATTTGATTAGTAATTTACTTGGTATTCAAGGATCAATTGTTGATCAAGTTTTGACAGCTACAGCCGATGACGCTGCTAAACTTTTGGGGGTTAAAAATCAAGAAAAATAAGTTTTAAAATAAAGAAAGAATCTAGTCAAAATAGAAAAAAGTTCACTCAAAAAAAGAATTTGGTTGAATTTAATTTTTTAATGTAAGTAAATATGGTAAAAATTTAAGTTGGTATTTTTGAAATTTGACGTTTATTATGATTATGTCAAATTTAACATATAATTATTTTATGTATTTATTTTCAATTTTAAATGTTTAGTTTGATAATTTTCTCTAATTTAGTTCCAAATAATTCTTAAAAAATGTATTTAATTTTCTATTATCGATATTTTTTTCCGGGATAACTTTGTAAATAATAATCAAAATAAAAAAAATATGATGCAAGAAAAAAATAGTACGGTCTAGGATACCAAATATTAGTTAATAAACAAAAAAGGCAACGAATCTGTAATATATAAAAAGCCTTATTTAGTGTCTTAACTTGAATGATAAAGCAAAGATGTAAACTTAAGAGCAATATAGATTTTAATATATTTACTTAAAAAAAAGAGAGATATTCTTATTCTCGGGCTTGTGAGGCAAAACGTAAATTATAATTATAAAAAATTAGTTTTTAATAAATTGCACGAGTGTTTATTCGAATTTAGCTTTTTAAAAAGGATCACCGCTAACTTCACGTTTGTTTATTTTTTTTTGAATAAAATCAAAATTAATTTAGAGAAAAATATTAAAGGTGGTAATAATAATAAAAATATTAAGCATATTTATTATTATTAATAATAATAAATTAGAAATAAAAAGTATTCAATAAAATAAAAATGATTTCCAATTAATTTTTTTGAGGTTGGTATATAAATTTGACATTAAATCTGTCTAAATTAAATTAATTTTCTAATTGAGGTTATGTCGCTAATAAAATTTTTTATTTTATTGAATACGTGATATTATATTGAACACATTGAAAAGTGCACTTACCTAGTTTGTTTATCTTTTCGTTTTTTGGGTATTTTTGATGATGAAACACATTCACGCTGTGTCTTAAAAAAACGGTCGAATCAAACGTAGGAAGTGTTCCTTTTAACATTTCTCCTTAAAAAATAACGTTCGATCGACTGATAGCTTATTATATTATTAAAAAAAACGAGATGAAGTAATAATGATTACATGTATTATTATTATAGAAAAAAATGTATACAAAAAACATATCCTATTTAAATTTAAAATTGAGTGAAGATATATCTATATATAAATATATATATTATAAAGTTTAAAAATTAATCTGAATAATGTTATTTAATTAGTTTAAAAAAAAAACAGGGCGTTTTTAATCATTTTGTGTTTATTAGTTATTATTTTGAGGTTAATAAATTATTATGTAATTGTAGAAATTAAAAAAATATTTTGAGAGAAGTAAATTTTGAGTACCAATCTGGTCAAAATGGTAATTTTAACGTACTAAACTACGTACTGATATCATTATTGTATTTGTAAAATGCCATATCTACGTAAAAATAAGTAAGGTTAACGTGCGTTTTTATGATTAATATTTCTTTTTAAAAAAGTCCACTCTGTAACCTATTTAAATGTATTTGTATTGTATTTAACAAGCCGGAGCGAAGACTTTTTTCTGTTTATTGAAATTTTTTATGTTTCGGTTTATTTTTGTTTGTTTTCGTAGTTTATTTTTGTGAAACGAGTTTAATAAACGAATTATGCTCAAAATAAAAATAATTATTTGTTTTATTTATAACCAGCAATTTACATTTTATTTTAATTAACCCTTTGTGTCCCAAGAAGTAAAAAATTTTGAAACTTTGTGTCAGAATTAAAATGTTATCGAAATACACTCAGTAAAGGCCTTTGGAATCAATTTTAGCAAAATATGTTATATATTCGCATAATCTAAGTGTCAAAAAAGATGCTAATTCAAAAATTCCTGGAAGCCGTGTTTATTGAAATTAAGAAATGAAACTTATTTTAAATTGAAGCTTAAATCTTTCTGTTTAAATTGATGTATAATAATCGTTGGGTTGAATTAGAAAAATATTGAGAAAAAAGATGTTGAAATAAAACTTACATTTTCGTATAACCTAAAAGTGTGAAAAAAGATGCTAATTTAAACATTCCTGGAAATCGTATTTATTGAAATTAAGGAATAAAACTTATTATTCTAAATTAAAGCTCAAAGCTTTCTCTTTAAAATGATGTATAATAGTTGTTGGGTTGGATTGGAAAAATATTGAGAAAAAAAATGTTGAAACAAAACTTACATTTTGGTATAACCTAAAAGTGTCAAAAAAGATGTTAATTTAAAAATTCCTGGAAGTCGTATTTATTGAAATTAAGGTATGAAACTTATTTTAAATTAAAGCTCAAAGTTTTCTCTTTAAAATGATGTATAATAATTGTTGGGTTGGATTGGAAAAATAAGAGAAAAAAAAATTTTAAATAAAACTTACATTTCCGTATAACCTAAGAGTGTCAAAAGAAATGTTAATTTAAAAAATCCTGGGCGCCGTATTTATTGAAATTAAGGAATGAGATTTATTTTAAATTAAAGCTTTCTTTTTAAAATGATGTCTAATAATTGTTGGGTTGGATTGGAAAAATGTTAAGAAAACAAATGTTGAAATAAAACTTACATTTCCGTATAACCTAAGACTGTCAAAAAAGATGCTAATTTAAAAATTCCTGGAAGCCGTATTTATTGAAATTAAGGAATGAAACTTATTTTAAATTAAAGCTCAAAGCTTTCTCTTTAAAATGATGTATAATAATTGATGGGTTGAATTGGAAAAATATACAGAAAAAAAAATTTTGAAATAAAACGTACATTTTCGTATAACCTAAGAATGTCAAAAAAGATGCTGATTTAAAAATTCCTGGAAGCCGTATTTATTGAAAGTAAAGAATGAAAGTTATTTGAAATTAAAGCTCAAAGCTTTCTCTTTAAAATGATGTCTAATAATTGTTGGGTTGGATTGGAAAATATTGAGAAAAAAAATGATGAAATAAAACTTACATTTTCGTATAACCTAAGAATGTCAAAAAAGATGCTAATTTAAAAATTCCTGGAAGTCATATTTATTGAAATTAAGGCATGAGACTTATTTTAAATTAAAGCTTAAAGCTTTCTCTTTAAAATGATGTCAAATAATTGTTGGGTTGGATTGGAAAAATATTGAGAAAAAAAATGTTGAAATAAAACTTACATTTTCGTATAACCTAAAAGTGTCAAAAAAGATGCTAATTTAAAAATTCCTGGAAGCCGTATTTATTGAAATTAAGGAATGAAACTGATTTTAAATTAAAGCTCAAAGCTTTCTCTTTAAAATGATGTTTAATAATTGTTGGGTTAGATTGGAAAAATATAGAGAAAAAAAATGTTGAAACAAAACTTACATTTTCGTATAACCTAAAAGTGTCAAAAAAGTTTTATTTAAATTTTTTTTTTTTCAATATTTTTCCAATCCAACCTAACAATTATTAAACATCATTTTAAAGAGAAAGCTTTGAGCTTTAATTTAAAATAAGTGTCATTCCTTAATTTCAATAAATAGGACTTCCAAGAATTTTTAAATTAGCATCTTTTTTGACACTTTTAGGTTATACGAAAATGTAAGTTTTATTTAAATATTTTTTTTCTCAATATATTTCCAATCTAACCCAACAATTATTATACATCATTTTAAAGAGAAAGCTTTAAGCTTTAATTTAGAACAAGTCTCATTCCTTAATTTCAATAAATACGGCTTCCAGGAATTTTTAAATTAGCATCTTTTTTGGCACTTTTAGGTTATACGAAAATGTAGGTTTTGTTTCAAAATTTTTTTTCTGAATATTTTTCCAATCCAACCCAACGATTATTATACAGTATGTCCTCGGATCGAGTTACAAAGAGGAAAAAAATTTTTGTTACTGATTTTTCAAACTTATCTCAGCATAAATAATGCGTCGGATATGTTCAAACTACTAGATCGCACGAATTTTATACTCTAACTATAAAAGTTAACTAATTATTCCAATGTTTATGTAACAATTGGACTTTTGTCTAAATTGAAAATTGAAATTGAAGTTCAATTTATGATATGTAACCATAGAAACCATAAAACTTACAACTTATGTTGGTGAGATTAAGTCTTTTCATGCGATGTTAAATGCGATGAAAGAGAGAATTTATTTAGTACTGTACTATGGTACTAGTGAATCATATTTTCGTGTAGTTATACAAAAATTCTAGCAAAAATATCCGGACAAAAGAATATCTCATGTGGAGCTCGCAAACTGATGACAAAAAAATTGGAAACGGGTTTGTATTATCCATAAAGAGGCAGATAAAGAGACTAAATGAGGAAGACGCTGCCTTTCAGATAGCTTTTCAACAAATGACATTGTTTCTTCCCAGCATTGTCGTTATTGGAGCGATGTAAATCCAATTAGCTTTAAATTTTATACGGTCAATGTACTTTCAGTAAGACAGTTGCCCAGCTTACCATTTACAGAACTACATTATTACATTATGCCAAATGGTTAAATTTACAATTTCGTCAAAAATGGATTGAACGAAATGGTCTTATTTGATATCCAGCACGTAGTCCTGATCTTACAATTATGGATTTTTATTTTTGGGGACGATTCAAACAAATTGTTTACAGTGAACCATTACAAGATGATGCAGAACTATTAAAACTAAGAATAATTAATGCGATAGAATCTCTACCACTGGCGGAAATTCGTACTTCTTATAAAGAATTTAGAACTCGTCTTCAAATGTGTACCGAATTGGGAGTGAACTTGTTTGAATGATGCAGAACTATTAAAACTAAGAATAATTAAAGCGATAGAATCTCTCCCACTGGCGGAAATTCGTACTTCTTATAAAGAATTTAGAACTCGTCTTCAAATGTGTACCGAATTGGGAGGGAATTTGTTTGAATGAGCATTTGTTCACTTACAAATAAATAATATTTATTACTTACATAGTGTGTTATTACATAAGTTTACATTTAAAATATTTTATTCAATTAGCCATATTTTAATTTGATTTGTCCATAAACATATCATAAATTGAACTTGAAAAATTTTTAATTTAGGAAAAGTATAATTTTTACATAAAAATGGGAATAATTAGTTAACTTCTATAGTTAGAATATAAAGTTCGTGCGATTTAGTGGTTTGAACATATCCGACGCATTATTTATGCTGAGATAAGTTTGAAAAATCAATAATACATTTTTTTTTCCTCTTTGTAACTCGATCCGGGGACATACTGTATATCGATTTAAACAGAAAGCTTTAAGCTTCAATTTAAAATAAGTTTAATTTCTTAATTTCAATAAACACAGCTTCCAGGAATTTTTAAATTAACTTCTTTTTTGACACTTTTAGGTTATGCGAAAATGTTAGTTTTTGCTCAATATTTTTTTTGTTCTCAATATTCTATCAGATTTTCGTCGTTCTGTAACTACAGGTCTGATAAATAAATATTCAAATTTACTGCGTCCACGAAAATGTCGTAGCGCAAGTTCAAAAGAAAGAGGAAGTGCAATGCTTGTGGTACTCTCAAGTACCATTATCCCCCTGGAATGGGGAGATTGCATATTTTGCTAAAATTGATTCCAAAGGCCTTTACTGAGTGTGTTTTGACACCGTTTTAATTCTGTCACAAAGAGTCAAAATTTTTGACTTCTTGGGACACAAAGGGTTAAGAAAAAAATTTTATCTCCAAAACGGTTTGACATTGGGAAGTGAAACTTATTAAAGTTGATAAAGGTTATTAAAGATTATTTGAGGTTGTAATATACAAAGTTTAAAGTTTCCAGGTTGAACAGCGTATTTACAAAAAAGTTTATAAATCGTACTTTTTAATTTGTCAAATTTTGAAAGTGAGGGACAAATTTTTTTCTCTAAAACTATTTGAAATTCAGAAGTTAAACTTTTTGAGGTTATAAAAGAATGTTTAAGGTTTGGTTATACAAAATTTAAAGTTCTTTGGATGAATAGTTTTTTTATTGCAATGTTTAAAGCTCACTCATTCCAAGTTGATAAATCTTGAAAATAATGTTAATGTAAAACATTGTTTTCTCCGAAATAAACTAAAGGAATTGTAGGAATAGAAAAACCATAGGGATTATTATAAAAATCAATAAATTAATAATTAATTTTCAAAATTATTGCAAACAAATTTTTGAAGCGCCATCTATTAATCAGTTGTCAAAACTATTAAATTTATGGGCAATGTTAATTAATACTTCATTAAATATAATTTTAATTAGTGGGTTATACATCAAATAAATAAAGCTTTATTTAAATATTAGGAATATATAATTGGGGATTATTATTAAAAAACGATTTTTGAAGTTTTAAATTTATTCTTTGAATGCGCCATCTATTAAAGTATTTTTAAAACTAAATTTATTTACAACAATGAATATTTGTAATTTTTCTTTAAAGAAACTATTTATCAATAATCATCTTTGTTTAAATAATTAAAATCGGCTTAAACAAAGCAAATTAAAGAAGAACTTTAATAATAACAAGATTCAACGGTAATAATAAAAGTAAGGTTAAACTAATTTTTATATTTAAAATCTGATTTCACCAAAACTTTCAATATAAACATTTTATGCGATGATTTAATTAATTAATACATCAATATTCTTATAAATATTAGTAAATATATTCTTATAAAACACCTCAAGGTTATGATTATTAGTGTCGCTATTTAATAATAGATGGCGACACCAAATTCAAATATGAATTAATTTAAATTTGAAATATAGCTTCAATTTATTAATAACAATGCATATAAAGTATATAAAGTTTTCAAAATATAAGATTATTAAAATTCCTCAACCATATAGAAAAAAAGTAACAGCGAAATTAATTATTTTCGATTTTAATCTGACTCTTTGAAACGTCTCTTAACGCAGTGGGATTCATAACGAAGTAATTCGGATGCACCTTTGGTTTTATATCGTAAACGAGTTCCAATAAATCACTGACAATCTAAAATAAAACGCTAATAAGTTCACAACAAAATAAATTTATCATAAAAGATTTACTTGGTCTTTGTTTTGCTCAACATCTTGAGCCATTTGTTCCATAACACTTTCGGTATTTTTATCGATTTTCGCTGCTATATCATCCTTAGAACCCAATTTTTTCGCTTCATATTCCAAAAATTGTTTTTCACGTTCTTTCCTGTACTTTTCAATTTCAATTTGAGCTTCTTCGCGAGCCTGTTTAATTCTTTTGGCTTTTCCTAAAGAAAAATTAAATTAAATACGATTAAATAAGGCTGTGCAACAATTATTATTGTCCAGAAAGCAATTAATTGCTATGTTTTTACGATCTTATATAACAACAATGTTTTCCATGTGTGGAATAGCAATTACCATTAAACGCCGGACGTTTAAATTGAAGAGGACGTCCTTAATTTCCTATTCAAATCATTTTTAGGACAATTTAAAAGGGATTACAAGAAATTTTTAAATAAATTTTTGATCAAATCGATTTGAAAATGTTTAAAAATAAACTGTTAATGTCTCGAATCTTGGTTTGGAGTCGATGAAATTAAAAATAGAAGTGTCACTGTGTTTTTTTTTTTTTAATTTTTGAGTTATGACAATTGAAAAATATCAAAAAAGCTTCAACGAAAAGTTTATTTTTAGGGGAAATCTTTTTTGTGACTTACTTTTTCGTGCTTCGGCGACTTTTTCAGCGGCCCGTTTTTCAGCTACGAGTAACTGTTGGATTCCGTGCGTTTGGCTCGCCATCGTGCACTCAAATGAACAAATATTGAGCAGCTGCACATAAAATTGTACGCCAAGTAACAAAAAGTTGCGGTTTGTAAACAATTTAAATTAAAAAACGATTATTTTTCCAACTACTACGCATGTTTCAACTAATTGAAACACCGTTTGGTATTTATTACTCAATAAAAATGTGCTTTTGTAACTTAAAAAATGCAACATTCACCGTTATCGCCAATTATTGTTGCTTTAGTCATTTCGTTTTAATAACATATTGTTTAAACTCGTAATATCAAAGGAAATTAAACGCTTATTATTGATATTTATGAAGATATGATAATTTTATCTCAACATTTTTGAAAAATAACACCATCTCAAAAATACCTCGATAGATGGCGCTTTAATAAAAGGAATCTGTTTTATTAATAATTAACAAATTCTTTTTACTTATTTATTACATTCTAAAATACATAAAAGTACTAATAATGCTTTACAAACATCCTTTTTTAATTGATTAAATTTATTTCTTAAGAAGTTGATGTCTTAAGACGATGAAAGGTGCGGCCAAACCCGATCCGAAGAAAACAATGAACCAAGCTGTTAATCTAAAACGGTTGGTCAACGAAAATGGTAAATTCTGCAAAGAGAGAACGTTATAATTAATCGACTCATTTAAAACTTATCATCTACAATTTTTTATGACCGATAACGATAATCCTAACCTAACTTTTAGTTATGTAATAAACGCAAAAAAAAAATATTAAAACAAACCTCTCCGGGTTGCCCACCGTGACTCCCGTGCCTCACGAAGCTATTAATCGCCCTCCTTACTAAAAGCGAACTTGGATTCAACATTTTCAAGAAGAAATTTAAGAAAATTCGTCGAAATCTAACACACTCGGAATCAATTCGCCAGTTCGAGAAAGTAACGAAACGTCATTGATGGCGCTGAGAACAAATAAACGAGTGAAGTTAGCTTAATTCAAAAATTATTTTTATTTAATACTTTATTTATTAATTAAATTTTAACAATAATTTTAAAACATCTCAACAAATTAATTAAATTAATTAATTAACTAATTTATTAATCACAATTAATATTAAAATTAAATCTTAAACAAATGACGTCACAATCAACAAAAACTTTATTATCGCACCTCTTAATCTAAAAAATAAAAATTATAACTTTCTTATGTGTTACGTTAAGTAAAGCTTATTTAAAAACTGTTCAAAGGTTAAACTAGTAATAACTCGAAACTCTTTAACTCAACAGCTTTATTATTTCTGTTTCAGAACAAGGTCGTCGTAGTGGTCACTTTCGTGGGATAAAAATGTTGTCGAAAAAGGTTTTAAAAAATTACCGAGCTTTTACACGTTTCCTCCACGTCGAAAGTTCGAACGTAATACAAACGAAATGCGATCAAAATTCAAAAAGATACAAAGTAAGTTTTAATTTGCTATAAAATGTTTATCTTTTAGTTCGTCCACGTTTTCTAAACGTTTTTAACCCCCTCTATTTTTAGATGTGAGAATTAAAAATTTAAATTTTTTTAATTTGTATGTTTTAGGAGAATTATTCTCAAATGAACGATTTAGTAGAAAATTTAAGGAAAAGAACGCAAGATATTTTACAAGGTGGTGGAGATAAAGCTATAAAAAGACACACTTCGAAAGGAAAATTATTGGTTAGGGACCGAATTGATTTATTATTAGATAAAAATTCAGCTTTTTTGGAACTCAGTACTTTCGCTGGATTTAATATGTACGATGATGTTATTAATTCGGCTGGTGTTATAACTGGAATTGGTAAAATTCATGGGTAAATTTTTTTTGTGGTTATGCAACCAAACTTACTTGTGTTTTAAATTTTATTATTTTAGTAACGAATGTATTGTTGTTGCTAATGATGCCACCGTAAAAGGAGGAACTTATTATCCTATGACTGTTAAAAAACATCTCAGAGCACAAGAAATTGCCCAAGAAAACAATTTACCTTGCATTTATTTGGTTGATAGCGGTGGGGCTAACTTACCACATCAATCAGAAGTGTTTCCTGATAAGAATCATTTTGGGAGAATCTTTTTTAATCAAGCTAATTTATCATCAGAAGGAATTCCACAGGCAAGTTAAATTCTCAAACCTTTTTAAATTTCTCTTCTAAAAGTCAAGCAATGAAATCTTCATCTCTCAACTGAATAAATTGTCTTGGCAATGTTACCATTTATTACATAATAATAAATTTTATTATTTACTATTATAGATCTGTTACAATGTGCTAATTGAAAAATTAGACTTAAACTAAGCCCAGGTAACAATTTTTTTTCTTGGTATTTGAAAATTATAAAGGTTTTTGCAAATTTTTTGATAACTTTATAAAGTCTTTATAATGAACTAGAAAGAAGTGGTTCAATTTCTGCCGATTAATGTGAATCCACAAAAAATTCACGGCGTAGCTTAAGCGTCTGGCCATACAATAGCTCTAAAGAAGAACAACAAAGATCTTCTTTTAGAGAGCAACGAAGTCCTAAAAGAATAATGGGAAGATTGTTATTCCATTTGTTACCAGCTCCGCGGGCAGTAATGGCTGTTTTGAGAGTTCTGTAAAACGTTATTAAATTGCCTAAAAAGTTGGAACTCAAATTGCCTTCCCTGTCATGTGGTATAGTGTGGCGGATATACGAGCAATAAGATACTGGAGTCATCCATTAAAAATTAGAAACAATCACTATATTCTGGTTCTCAGCATTATGGAAACTGCGTCTATCTTCTGGATGCTGGAACTAATCACTATTGATACTTCACCCAACAATGAAATACTAGCATCAACAACTTACATCTATCCATATTTAGTATTCATGACATTCAAAGTATGATACTTTTGGGACTGGATGCTAAAACCAATCATTATAGTTGCTATTCTCAACAAGTGGATACTGAAATGATGTACTAGATGCTAGAAGCAATTACAAATACTGCACCCAACAACAGGATAGATCCTAGATCTACTCACTGTGGAAATTAATTAAGTTTTGCTTCTCAGCATTATGGAAATTGTGTCTACCTTCTGGATACTGGAATCAATTACTATTGATACTGCACCTAACAACTAATTATTAGAATCAACAACTAAAATCTAGTTTAATTAATATTTATAGTATCTAGTAACTATTAGTATCATGATACTTTTGGGACTAGAAGCTGAAAACTCACTATAGTTACTGTTTCCAACAAGTGTATACTGAAATGATACACTGGATAATGGAATCAATCATTACAGATACTGCATCCAACAAAGGGTGGATTGGAATCAACCACTAGATTCTCGATCTACTGTGGAAACTGAAATTCCAACACCCAACACCTAAATACTAGAATCAACAACTAATATCTAGTGTATTTAGTATTCATAGCTTTTAGAGTATCTAGAAACTATTAGTATTATAATAAATTTAGGACTGGATGCTAAAACCAATCATTGTAGTTACTATACGTAACAACTTCATACTGGTGTAATAAATTGATATCTACCATTATAGATACGCAACAACAGGATTTTTTGGTAGTTGCTTCGGTCAAGGGCCATGATTCTGCTCCATGCAGCAAGACAAAGAAGACGTAACAACGGAGGAGTGTAATTTTTGAAGGGCGTAAAAAACTGACGCCATTTTGACAAGTCTCTATCTTATAGCGAATCGACATTTATATTGAGACTACACCTCTCACTGAAATTTTTGCTGCAATCCTAAGAGACTGTTTGCCATAATAACTGTATCGTCAGGATACTGAAAGTTATTCAGTTTTTTCCAAGTTACAAATATTCCTTTATTGACATCCTTACTATTCGCGAGATATTTATAGCATCTCATTAGTCTTCTTCAATGGTTATGCGTGCTGTCCGATCCCAGTGTAGTCGCAACATTATGTTCAGATCTTTCTTTTTCCGTCAATCGATTAGTATTTTAGTACAATTAGTATTTTCACTAGTTTATAATGTTAAAGTCAGTTGAAAGCATTTCTGTAGTCGACAAAACAAACGTACACATCGCGATTGACGTCTCTGTACTTCTGAAACAGCTCTTGTGTAGCAAACAGTACTGATCTCAGACATCTTCACACTTTTTATGTATTCTATGAATAATGTTCAGGAATACTTTTAGTAAGTGGATCATAAGCTTCTTAGGTAAAAAGACAAATTTTGACACCAACCACTCCCTCGATATTTCGCTCGTTTCGGAGATGGAGTTGAACTCACTGTGGAAACTGAAATCATTCATAGGACATTAAAATCATCTACAGAATACTTGAATCGTCCATTAGATACTGGAAACATCCACTAAAAATTGGAATCAATCACTATATTCTAGTTCTCAGCATTAGGGAAAGTGCGTCTAACTTCTGGCTACTGGAACCAATTACTATTGATACTGCAACTAACAACTCAAAACTAGAAGCAACAACTTACATCTAGAGTATTTAGTATTCACGGCTTTCAGAGTATCGAGTAACTATTAGTGTCATGATACTTTAGGAACTAAATGTTAAAACCAATCATTACAGTTACTATTCCCAACAACTGGATAGAACATATTTATCATCTGTATAATAGCAGGTGTGTCCAGAGAAAAGACATTCCCTGTTCGTGAACCATCAGTGTAGATCTTGGAGATTTTGTGTGTATTTACTGCTGTGGGACTGATGTAGGTGAGGTAATTCTTTGAAAATACAGGTTTTGTTGGCATGCAGTCCGTCTTGGATTCAAGTAGGGGTGTGTCTAACACTGCTCCCCTCCAAAGTGTCGAACAGCTGCTCGCGTCCGCATCCTTCATAATTCCAACTGATTGTAGTCTTATCATGGTTGTCAACGCCACCTCTTGAACATATAGGTTAAGTGGAGCAGACACGCGAGTCTCTGTATTCTATTAAGTGCGGTGCTGGAGGTAGACTTGGAAGTTCTAGTCCACCGCACCATAGGTTAGCATTGGCCGGGTTAGCAGGGCTATCTTAGCGGACAAACCCCAAGTCCACCGACAGCCCTCCGGCACTGGCCGAAAGCGGCGCAAGCTTTATTTACCTTATTTTCTAGGTGGGATTTCCCCGTTAACTTACTATCTATTACTAAGCCCATGTACTTAACCTCTGTAGACAGTTCAAGTGGAGGTTTAGCGAGCATTGGCAGTCTAGGATTGCCTATGTTACGCATGCGTGTAAAAAGAACCACCTCTGTCTTGTTGGGATTGACGGAAACGGATCCTACGAACAGTGTAGCTTGTTGGCACGATGGACCTTTCCTGACCGAACCCACGTCGACGCTGCCGATGGACCCATCCTCCACCAGGGACGTAAAGAAATAGCACCGTCGCCTACATATACTGGTGCATTCACCACAGCCGGCCTGACAACCGATTTTATGTCATTGTTGACCGAAGATACGTTTTAATTAATTTTAAACGAGAGAAACTTCTTTCTCCACTGGCCACACTAACAGGAATTGTTTATAGGATTTTCAAAGCGATATAATTAAAGAGTCGATATACAACAATTAAGTTGTTGTTTAAAATATATTTCAAAACTTCATAAGGTGTATCACCTGGGTTTAAAAGTTTTGAAATGAAACTCAACTGTTCCGCCAGCTGAATGCCGTCGATGTTTTTTCTATTGTTGTGTAAGAGTAATCTCCAAATTCATACTTTGCTTTATGTCGTCCTCTTTTTCCCAATTTCTTAGGTCGGCATGATTGTGCAAAGATCCGAATGTACTATTAAATAAGGAAAACGGTCCTCTATTGAATGAATCGCTATGGGTGGGTTAAACAAAAAAGTAGTACATACTAATGTTTAAGGAAAAAGAATTTACTGTATAGCAAATACTTTCGGATGTAGTACGCCTTTAGTTCCGGTAGAATTTACTCGCATATGCAGTACGAGCTATTTAAAGTAAATACTACTAGTAGGAAGTAAATACTTTCAAAGAGTAGTACGCACTTTAAAAGTGCAACAACGTGTTAATTCACGTCGATTCACGTCTCACCAACGTTTACTCATTTGTTTTCTATAAGTGAAGAGTCACGAGGTATCAGTATTCGAGTATTCAGTATTTTGAGTACTGTTAGATATACCATATTTTTGTTGTGAGGACGACAGCAAAACGCGACAGTAGTTAACCCATTATTCAATGATAAAGATCTCAATGATATTCTTGATTTTCTCATCATTGTGAAGCCGTTTTGACGAGAAATATCAGCTGTCTTCGATACAATTAAGTTTTCATGGTGGTGATAGCAGTTCCACATCGCTTCTCAAAGCTTTTTGAAATTTTGTAGTGAATTTTACTATTTATCAGCTGGCGATCTTGAATATCTAGTCCTAAACAAATCCGCTGTACAACTTTTTGAGGAACTTTCACCATGTTTAATACTGTAGCATCGTAGTAAGATTATCGAAGCTGGCCTTTCATAAGCTTCGCTAAAAGTGAAGCAATCGTTGAAATAGAGTAGTACATGCTACTTTGTAGCATTTACACGTCTTAATCTGATTTCTGTAAAGTTTGGTTGTACGTTTACTGAATTTGCTAGTTCAGACTCTACATCTAACAATTTTTGATACTTTTCGTCACTTCTTAGTTTTTTTATATTATTTGTAACCTGTTCAATTGTTTCAACTGCTGCACAAACCGTGCACTTTGGGCTTTGTAGTACAAAATTTAGTCTGTGAATCTAAAAGTACAGTTATACCAAATTATTGTAATGCATATGAACTGATAATTTAACTGCTTGCTTCTACTTTAGTATTATTTCCATGAGAACCGAGTAAAGACGTGTCTTCTACAATAAGAAAATGTGACGGGACAAAAATCTAACGGTCCTGATCGCAATAGTCAGTTACTTCAATAAAATCAATTGGAAGAACATTTTCTTCCGCCAAATACATATTCTTTGACTCGGTGTTAACAAATCGAATTATTAATGTAAGTTGTTCTTTGTGGTTGATATCGGGACTTGTTTCCATGATTACAGAAAAAATTCGCTTTTTTGCCATTTCTATAATTTTCTTTTTAGTTATTTCTGCCAAAAAAAAACTACTAATTCATTTTGTATGTCTTTAGTAAGATAATGAACCTGTGTCTCTTTAGACGAAAAAACACTCTGTTATCTTTTTCAAAGAGTACATCAAATTTTGCTCTAAATGGCAAATTTAATTCAGTTAGTGTAAGAATAACTTCTGATAGTCGTGACATCCATTTCTTTAATGACATTACGAACTTTTATCCCGGTTTGATAAAGCATTCTCGCATTCCACTATATTGCAAGAGTTTCGCAGACTAACCTTACAAACTTTAACTTTTCCTTTCCTGTCGGATCTTGACCTCCGATTACCATGATTAATAATTGGTCTCTTAACTACGGCTAGGGATGCAAGTAAACCTTTAATACGGTAGTCTTTCATATCTTTATGCCGTTGACATAGTTCATCCGCCTTCGGAGCCAATTTCTCGGCCCAAGGACAAAAAGGTGCCCTAACTCCAGTAGTTCTTCAACTCGAAGCTGTTGGTTATTCGAGGAAACCTTTCGGTCCTTGCCTGTGTTAGTCTTCTATTTAAGAACATTGCCCGCTTCCTATCACATGGAGGTACTGGTTCGGGTTTCTCTTTCATTGAAGTTACGACCATATGGCATTTTCTAACTTCTTAAGATCTTTAGGAAACACCTGGAATATATTGGTATTTACTGGTAAATATTCATTTGCAGCAGTATAATTCTCTTATTCCAGGGTCAAAGTTAGTAACATGCCTTCAGCATCTTTATTAGCGATTTATCCTACTCCATGTTCATGCTTTCCATGGATTGATCCAGAATAGTATACTTATTAGCCATGAAGCCATGTATGTCACAGTAGCTAACTTTAGGCCATCTCATCTTATTCAGCCCCCATGATCGCTATTCTCATTTTCTTAGTATACTTTAGTAACATATTTTCTTCTCAATCCGCAGATTGTGTAGTTCGCTTATCCCGATGGAGGTAAGATTCATTTTCATCAATTTCAATCTCTCCAGATCTTACTGAGAATCAAGTTCATGTTCATTGTTTCTTCATAAAGCACCTTATCCCATCCCAAGTATCAGTGTTGCCACCAGGCCATTTCTACCCAAACAATACGGTTTTAAGGTTATTGGTCCGGGTCAGTTTTTGGCAACAATTTTCCAACACTGCCAAATATTAATTTAATTAAAATTTTGTTTACAATAATAATTTATTTTCCTTTAGATTGCTGTAGTTTTGGGTTCATGTACAGCTGGTGGTGCATATGTTCCAGCAATGGCAGATGAATCAGTAATAGTAAAACAACAAGGAACGATTTTCTTAGCAGGTCCACCATTAGTAAAAGCAGCAACTGGCGAAGAAGTTTCCGCTGAAGAATTAGGAGGAGCCGATATGCACTGTTCCGTATCCGGCGTAACAGATCATTACGCATTAAACGACGAACACGCGATTCATATCGCAAGACAAATCATTAAAAACATCAATAAGCAACCGAATGAATTATTTAACACCCCATTTGAAACCCCTCTATATAACCCTGAAGAACTTTATGGAATTATCGATCAAGATCTAACTAAATCTTTCGATGTTCGCGAAGTGATTGCAAGAATTTTTGATGGATCAAAATTTGATGAGTTTAAAAAAAAATTCGGGGCGACTTTAATTTGTGGTTTTACAAAGCTTTATGGAAAAATGGTTGGGGTGATTGGAAATAACGGGGTTTTATTTGCTGAAAGTGCGGTAAAAGGGGCTCATTTTGTACAATTATGCACTCAAAGAAACATCCCATTAATTTTTCTTCAAAACATAACTGGATTTATGGTCGGTAAACAAGCCGAAACCGGCGGAATTGCTAAACACGGCGCTAAACTAGTTACAGCCGTAGCTTGCGCTAAAGTTCCTAAAATCACTTTGATTATTGGAGGCTCTTACGGAGCCGGAAATTACGGAATGTGCGGCAGATCTTATTCACCAAGATTTTTGTATATGTGGCCGAATGCGAGGATTTCTGTTATGGGTGGACAACAAGCTGCGGGTGTTTTATCACAAGTTGCTGTTAAAACTAAAGGAAAGAATTGGAGTAAAAAAGATATTGAGGATTTTGAAAAACCAATTATTGAGCAATTTGATAATGAAAGTTCTGCTTATTTTAGTAGTGCAAGGTAAAATAAAGCTAAAATATTAATTTCTCTTTTTACATTTGATTTTTAGGATATGGGATGATGGAATTATTGATCCAAAAGATACTCGTAAAGTACTTGGATTAAGTTTAGCAGCTGCTTTAAATAGTGAAAAGAAGAAAACAACTTTTGGTGTTTTTAGAATGTAAAAAAAATTAATTAAAAGATATATATTTAGATTAATTAGTGTCCCTTTTTTCAATATGTCTTAATTGTTTCTTTTTCATCCTCTTCAATTTTGCCGTATTTTTAATAACCTGCACTATTTCGGATTTTTTCCTATTCTCTTCTTGTCGCTTTAAATTTTCACGTCGTCGCTCCTTTTTCTTCTCCTTTTCTTCTTCTTTAGCCGCTTTAATAGCTCTCGAAGCCTCTTTTACCCTTAATAACTCTTTTCTTAATGTTTCTTTTTTCTCCATTGGATTCTTTAAACCTTTAGATTTTATTATTGAAGAGAATCGTTGTTTTTGTGATTTCCAAACTCGACCAGATTTTGGTTTACCTTTTGGAATGTCTTCTTTTATAGGATATTTTTTCCTAAAGAAATTTGATTAAAGTATGTTTTTAAAAAGGTAAATTTCAAACTTACTTTTGAGGTTTTTTGATTTCTTCGTTATCCTTTGGCCGAGTTTCAATGATATCTTCCATTTTAATTATACCCATTTTTTTAATTAATTGTTATTATTAGTTTTATTTGAATATTTTTAATCGATTGTCGTGAATTATTTTTTGAGGTTATGTCGGGAACATGAGGCCTTTTCAGCGCTGCCAACCATGCCGACCAAATGTCGATAGAATCAGTGTGTTTAAATATTAATATTTAAAGACAATGGTAGAATCAACGGTAAAAAATCGGTAGGTTTAAACACAAAGTGACAAAATGTTGTTTGGTAAAAGTTTATAAATGAATTTATATCCATATACAGATGTCCCATATCTTCCGCATCAGAACATTATACGGTCCGTGCGGTTATTATAACCATTTCGAAAAATTTTTATTAAAAAAATCGCTTCAGAATAATATATTCTGTATATACGTTATGAGTTACACAAGGGACGTTGTATTTTTAAAAAACCTTGTTGAATGTTTGATTAAAATTATTGTTTTTCGGGATCGAACCTATTGGCAAGTTGTTAATCTTTGGAATCGGAGGATGTTACGAAAAACTTTTAAAATAAAAGTTGTAGCAAATTTTATTCTTAACAATATTGCTCTCTTGCACTTTTGCTCTTAGATACGTCAATATCGAGATATATACAAAAATATGAAAATCTTATGAATTTGCTGCTCTTTAAAGTTATTCTTATATACTTATACACTTGAGAATCGGAGCTTGCTATAAGAAAACTTTTATAACAAAAATTGTTGCAAATTTTATTGATAACAATATTGCTCTCTTGCACTCTTGCTCTTAGATACGTCAATATCGAGATAGATCCGAAAATAAAAAAAAATTATGAATTTGTTGCTCTTTCAAGATATTAAAGGAAACACTTGGGAATCGGAGCATGCTATAGGAAATCTTTTATAAGAAAAATTGTAGCAAATTTTATTGTTAACAATATTGCTCTCTTACACTTTTGCTCTTAGATATGTCAATATCGAGATAGATCCGAAAATATGAAATTTTAAGAATTTGTTGCTCTTTCAAGGTATTAAAGGTAACACTTGAGAATCGGAGCTTGCTATAAGAAGACTTATAACAAAAATTGTTGCAAATTTTATTGTAAACAATAAATCTCTTGCACTTTTGCTGTTACATACGTCAACATCCAGATAGATACGAAAATATGAAATTTTAAGAATTTGTTGCTCTTTCAAGTTATTAAAGGTAACACTTGAGAATCGGAGCTTACTATACGAAAACTTTTAAAACAAAAATTATTGCAAATTTTATTGTTAACAATATTGCTCTCTTGCATTTCTGCTCTTAGATACGTCAATATCGAGATAGATACGAAAATATGAAAATTTTATGAATTTGTTGCTCTTTCAAGTTATTAAAGGTAACACTTGAGAATCGGTGCTTGCTATAAGGAAACTTTTATAACAGAAATTGTTGCATATTTAATTGTTAACAATATTGCTCTGTTGCACTTTTGCTTTTCGATACGTCAATATCGAGGTAGATACGAAAATATGAAAATTGTATGAATTTGTTGCTCTTTCAAGTTATTAAAAGTAACACTTCGGAATCGGAGCAAGCTATAAGAAAACTTTTATAATAAAAACTGTTGCCAATTTTATTGTTAACAATATTACTCTCTTGCACTTTTGCTCTTAAATACGTCAATATCGAGATAGATACGAAAATAAGAAAATTTTATGAATTTGTTGGTCTTTCAAGTTATTAAAGGAAACACTTGGGAATCGGAGCATGCTATAGGAAATCTTTTATAACAAAAATTGTTGCAAATTTTTTTATTAACAATATTGCTCTCTTGCACTTTTGCTCTTAGATACGTCAATATCGAGATATATACGAAAATATGAAAATCTTATGAATTTGTTGCTCTTTAAAGTTATTAAAGGTAACACTTGAGAATCGGAGCTTGCTATAAGAAAACTTTTATAACAAAAATAGTTGCAAATTTTATTGTTAACAATATTGCTCTCTTGCACTTTTGCTCTTAGATACGTCAATATCGAGATATATACGAAAATATGAAAATCTTATGAATTTGTTGCTTATGAAGTTATTAAAGGTAACACTTGAGAATCGGAGCTTGCTATAAGAAAACTTTTATAACAAAAATTGTTGCAAATTTTATTGTTAACAATATTGCTCTCTTGCACTTTTGCTCTTAGATACGTCAATATCGAGATAGATACGAAAAAAAAAATTTGATGAATTTGTTGCTCTTTCAAGATATTAAAGGTAACACTTGGGAATCGGAGGATGCTATAAGAAAACTTGTGTAACAAAAATTGTTGCCAATTTTATTGTTAACAATATTGCTCTCTTGCACTCTTGCTCTTATATATGTCAATATCGAGATAGATACGAAAATAAAAAAAAATTATGAATTTGTTGCTCTTTCAAGATATTAAAGGTAACACTTGGGAATCGGAGGATGCTATACGAAAACTTTTGTAATAAAAATTGTTGCCAATTTTATTGTTAACAATATTGCTCTCTTGCAGTTTTGCTCTTAGATATGTCAATATCGAGATAGATACGAAAATATGAAAAATTTATGATTTTGTTGCTCTTTCAAGTTATTAAAGGTAACACTTTGGAAACGGAGCATGCTCTTGGAAATCTTTTATAACAAAAATTGTTGCAAATTTTTTTATTAACAATATTGCTCTCTTGCACTTTTGCTCTTAGATACGTCAATATCGAGATAGATACGAAAATATGAAAATGTTATGAATTTGTTGCTCTTTCAAGTTAATTAAGGTAACACTTGGGAATCGCAGCATGCTATAACAAACCTTTTATAACAAAAATTGTTGCCAATTTTATTGTTAACAATATTGCTCTCTTACACTTTTGCTCCTAGATACGTCAATATCGAGATAGATACGAAAATATGAGAATTCTGTGAATTTGTTGCTCTTTCAAGTTATTAAAAGTAACACTTGGGAATCGGTGCATGCTATAAGAAAACTTTTATAACAAAAACTATTGCAAATTTTTTTGTTAACAATATTGCTCTCTTGCACTTTGGTCTTAGATACGTCAATATCGAGATAGATACGAAAATATGAATATTTTATGAATTTGTTGTTCTTTCAAGTTATTAAAGGTAACATTTGAGAATCGGAGCTTGTTATAAGAAAACTTTTATAACAAAAACTGTTGCAAATTTTATTGCTAACAATATTGCTCTCTTGCACTTTTGCTCTTAAATACGTCAATATCGAGAAAAATACGATAATATGAAAATTTTATGAATTTGTTGCTCTTTCAAGTTATTAAAGGAAACACTTGGGAATCGGAGCATGCTATAGGAAATCTTTTATAAGAAAAATTGTTGCAAATTTTATTGTTAACAATATTGCTCTCTTGCACTTTTGCTCTGAGATATGTCAATATCGAGAAAAATACAAAAATATGAAAATTTGATGAATTTGTTACCCTTTCAAGTTATTAAAGGTAACACTTGGGAATCGGAGCATGCTATAGGAAATCTTTTATAACAAAAATTGTTGCAAATTTTATTGTTAACAATATTGCTCTGTTGCACTTTTGCTCTTAGATACGTCAATATCAAGATAGATACGAAAATATGAACAATTTATGAATTTGTTGCTCTTTCAAGTTATTAAAGGTAACACTTGGGAATCGGAGCTTGCTATAAGAAAACTATTACAAGAAAAATTGTTGAAAATTTTATTGTTAACAATATTGGTCTCTTGCACTTTTGCTCTTAGATACGGCAATATCGAGATAGATACGAATATATGAAAATTGTATGAATTTGTTGCTCTTTCAAGTTATTAAAGGTAACACATGGGAATCGGAACTTGCTATAAAAAAACTTTAGTTGCTCTCTTGCACTTTTGTTATTAGATGCGTCAATATCGTGATAGATAAGAAAATATGAAAATTTGATGAATCTGTAGCTTTTTTAAGTTATTCAAGTTAATACTCGGGAATCACAGCGTGTTACGAAAAGACTTTTACAATAAAAATTGTAGCAAATTTTTATGTCAACAATATTGCTCTCTTGCACTTTTTCTCTTAGATCTCTTAGATACGTCAATATCCCATAAGTTAGGTGTTCCCATAAGATCCAATTTTTGTCACAATGGTATTGATTTTAAGTACGATGTGTTTTATAAAGTATTATAAAAATTCAAATTTTCAAATTTTGAAAATCGGTAGATTAAGTCGTATATCGGTATATTATCTTCTATATCGATAGCGTTGGCAACGCTGGGCCTTTTTGTGATTTTAGCGCCATCTATGATTTAACTAAAATATATTTTTTTTAATTATTCATTTTTATTATTTTTTGTGTCTTATCTTAAAAACTAGATAAGATTTCAATACATTTTATCACAAATCATTCGATTTGATTCATTAATTACATCCTATTTATTTTATAAACATGTAAGCTTTTTTATGATTTTAGCCCCATCTAACATGGCGGGTTTTAACTAATAATATAATTTAAAAAATTTAATTTTTAATGTTTTTTCTATCTTATCTTAAAAACTAGATAAGATTGCTATAGATTGTATCAAAAATCATTCGAATTAATTCATTAATTACATCCTATTTATTTTATAAACATGTAAGCTTTTTTATGATTTTAGCTCCATTTAACATGGTGGGTTTGAACTAAAAATAAAATTTTAAAAATTATTAATTTTTAATGTTTTTTTCTATCTTATCTTAAAAACTAGATAAGAATTCAATAGACTGTATCAAACATCATTCGTATTGATTCATTAGTTACATCCTGTAGTATTTTTATTAATAAATAAGAAAGAATTTGTTGCAATAATGTGGAAAATATTAATATTTAACGTTTTATTTTGTGCGGTAAATTGTGATTTGGATTGTACTAAATATCAAGTACACACCGATTTCGGCCCTGAAGATTGTGATAATGAAGCTGATTTTTATTATAATCCAACAATGTATAGTGATTGTATACCAGGGTGTGAAAAAGTATTAATAAGTGAGTTTTAACACATGATTATAAAAACGTTTTAACTGTTTAAATTATAGATGTTGGTTTACCTCACGACTGTTCATTAATGCCTTGTCCTCCTGCTTATGATTGCAAGGAAAAACAGTGCGTACTTGATGAGGGTAAGAAAAAAATAATAAGGTATAAAGAAAACCTAAGAAAAATTCTTGCTTTTAGACTCTTGTTTTAAGTATGTCTACAAAACAGGAGACTATGAGAACGCTAGATTTCAACCAAAATGTTTAGTAGATGGAACATGGGCACCTAAACAATGTAAAGGAGATAGATGTTTTTGTTACGGACCTAAAGGAAATCGGATTTTTGGGGATGCATTTCTTAATCAAGCTTCAAATATGACTTGCGGTAAATTAAACCAAGCTCTCTTCTTCATGAACCTGACCATCCTTCCTAATCATCTCTCGTCCTCATGATGATCTTGCAAAGAATATTAAAATTTGTGAATATTTATAAATACTAATCACTTACATTAGTGCAATATTACTCGTATCTCGTATCTGTTGTAATTATAATAGTATATTAAAAAACAAGTTTCGTAAGACACGCTTGAAATGCACGAATTCAAGTTGAAACATGAGTGGCGAAGCCACGAGTTTTTTAATGAATGAGTGCTTTAAGTCTTATGAAACGTGTTTTTTATGCTATTTTTTGTAATTCGCGTTTTTATCCTTTTTTTTTCCAAAAAATAAAATAAATTTTGACAATGTAGGGAAATAGGTATGCAGCAGTTGGTAACACCGTAACACTTGAAAATAGAAA